GGTAGGAAGACTTATAGGAGCGCACCTTGTCCTGAGTCCATTGTATGCATAATTATTTCCAAAGTCGGACAGTCGACGCGGTACATCCCTAAGTAGATTGATACCGGCATACTTTTCATTTCGTTTGAGAAGGCGGCTGGAATGGGCTCCTAGATTGGTCGCACCGGATACCGAAGAAGGCTTGCCTGACATCGGGGTCTGCTTGGTACAATTCAACAGACAAAAGCCCAAGACAACCCTCCTCCAGTATCCGGTCCGGCCAATCTAAGAAACCCCCCCACCCAACTGTCTTCTCAAACAAAATAAAATGCATGCCAGTATCAATTGAGTATGAACTATTTTTGACTTTTGGATATTCTAAACAAGCTCAAACGTGAATCAAAATTAAAGGATCGTTTGCTTGTTTGTTTGTCTGTTAAAGAAACACCGAACACACTTAAGGGTGTAGAAAGTAGCTTCACTCAATTGCAAACATGGAGAGTAGGTTTCAGCTAGTCAACACAATCCTGGGACGCCTAATTAGGATCCTAAGGAGTGATGAATAAAGAGCAGCTAGGGTTGCAGCCATCCACTTCTTACTAGATTTAGTATATTTTTACTCTTTTTCGTAAAGTATGAATTCTTGCTATAATCATGTCCGTCATGGTACAGACGAAAGTTTAGCACATGCTTATCGGAGCCGGAGGATAGTGAGCCTCCTTGGCGGCACTCCTCCTTTGGTTATGGAGGTAATATAGACGATTTTCACAACTTATTCCGGTTGACAGGTGGACCTTAAAGAATGTACTGAGTTCTGCTTCTCCGGCTCTAGTTGTCATGATGATCTCAAACAGTAAACCGTTATACTCGAACCCTAATGGAGACGCGACACCAATCCCATAGACATGGAGAGTAAGTGGGTTTAGGCTGATCTTTCAAGGCAATTTGTTTCTTATGAAAGTTCATGATGATTTCAACAGAAGACAACGGTCGGTTGTCGTTGTAAAATGGCTGCAGCACAGTGAATCTTATACGAAATAAGA